GTACATCCTCTGGTCTAGCCGAGTTTCTGACAGTCTTAAGCACAGGATTCAACCACATACAGATGTTCCTTTTCATCCGCAGTTTCAGTGACCCGGAGTCAACTGCGGCCCGAGAAACTGTTTAGATTGTGTGTAGTTCTCACGAGAGAGATCCAATCTCCTGCCATCCCACTCCAACTCGGGGTCAGCTTCCTCCTCCTTCACAGCGCGAGAGACTGAAAAACAGTTGGCGTGCAGCTGCAGCCCACCCCGCCGGTACCAGGGGTTAACACCACTTACCCTGGGCACCTGGGTCCCTGTCATAGTGTGCACACACAGGCAAGGCAGTATAAGTACACCTACGGTACACCTGTAGGTCTTGGAATGGGCCCAGGACCAGCAGCCTCATGCCCCACAGCCCTGGCAGTAAGTCACCAATCTCCGTCCTGAGCTGTGCAGGCCTTGGACGGATCCTGTGCTCCTTCTGTTGACATTGCTTCGCTACGTCTTTAAGCTATGCCATAGAAACTAGAGTGTATATTAATCCAAGCAACCGTCTGACTTGCCAGGTAGTTGACAGCCTTTAAAAAGAAAAACAACTCTTTAAATGTGAATTTGGTGAAGGTTTACAGAGCAGATGATAGTTTTCTACTCAACAATGTATGCACTTTCTGATTCAACTCCTCGGTTGCAATCCACTCAAGATACCATCCCCTAGCCCACGGCTTCCTTCGGTTTCCAGTTTCCATCGTCCTTCTTCCCCAACCCTCTGAACTCTGTCCTTGGGTACAGGTTGCCCTTGATCTGAAATGGTTGCTTCTTCGAACTCTCAGGGGAGTTCAGTTTTAGACCTGAAGGGTGGGGGCTGTAATCTTGGGGGGTCCCACCACTCTGTATCTGACTCTGGCCCTGATCTTTTGCATGATTGTGAGTTCTGTCCCACATTTCTCTCCCACTCTATGCAGGTCCTTCTAATGCGACTCTTTTCAGAGCACTGGGCAGTGGTCGTGGGGCACCACCTAGTCCTTCTGGTCTCAGAGTCAGGGTTCGCATGGTCCACCAGTCCGGGTGCCAGCACTCTTCTCTACTCTGGATGGGGAGAGACCAGTCGTTGCACCCGAGATGGGTGCTCGTAAGCTTCTTGGACCCCAGTTACGACTTACCAAGTAGGATGTGAAGCAATGGTTTTTATGGACTGTTTATAATAGGCCAACTTCTTGACTCTGACAATTCTTAAGATTCTGACATGATCCATTTGGGGAGCAACATCCCCTAATAAATTAAACTGCCCCCTCCTACTGAATTTCAGCAAAATCAGGATCTTAAGGCAAGTCTAGACTTCAAGATGGGTACAAGGCTTGGAAATGTTTCATCCTATACCATTCGTTTGTCTGATATCAAAGTGGCAGCTTTTGCAAGAGAGTGAGATCGCTCAGCCAAGAGGATAACACGATCATGATTGCCACCAACTTGCAAGTGATGGTGAGTGCACCGGGGGTCACCCGCCATGGCAACATCCGGGCCTTTAAGTTGCCCTGTTCTTTACTCTGTGCCCTTCCAATGCCAAATAAGTAGCCGAAGAATGTGGGTAGCACAGCTCTGGAGCAGAGGCTGGACCCTCCTGTCT